CGTCCCCGCCGCGGCTTATCTCCTCCGGCGTGAAGCCGTTCATGACTCCGCGCTCCGGGGCGCCAGCAGAAACCCCCGCTAGCCTCGCCGCTCCGCCTCTCTCCGGAGACTCCGGTGTCTTGGCAGGGTCCCTCCGGCTCCCGGTCTGGAGGCGGCAATTCACTCTNTTCACTCTGCACCCCAAGTCCTCTGGCAGCACGGCCAAACACCAAGCGTCCCCCGCCTGCTGGTGTCTGCTGGCTCCCGGACAGTAGACAGTGCTGAGGGTCAGTAACCAGAGTCGGGTGACGCCTGGAGCTGGGACCCAGCTCTCTGTCACATGGAGACTCCTCAGCAGTTGGACCGCGGCGTCTCCGCCTCCCTCCGGCCCCTCGACCTGCGCAAGCGCAATGAGCCCTCTCCGGCCCGCCCGTTCCATTTACCCGCAAGGCGCGACGGGAATTGTAGTACTCGTCTGGGGAGTTAACCTAAACTCTGTCCTGACCGCGCAACTCGCGGGTTGGAGGAACTACTTATCCTAGCATGCATTGCGCGGCCATGGGCCAGACTTTTTTTTTTTTTTTTTTTTAAAGCTCGGGAAAAACAGGGGCGTGTTGTTGGGGTTTGCTGCGCTTTCTCATTTCTTGAAATCTCACCCGGAGGTTGGTTGGTGGGTTGGTGTTTAGCTCCTGGAATTTTGCAGAGCTGGCATTCTAAACTCTGTGGTCACTCAACTCCGGAAGCGAAGCGCAGAACCAGGGGTGGGGCAGGGGTAGCAGGGGAGAGAGGGTGCTGGAAAAGTTTCGGGCCGTTATCGTATTTGTGATAAAAGAGTTTGTGGTGTGACCACGCTTTTGTGGGAAACCCAAACCAAAGAGAACTCAGGAGAGCTGGCGCTTTTCGGGTCCAGGAGGTCCCGCAGCTAACACCGCGGCTGAAGAGCAGCTCCATTCATTGACGCGACTTAATAAGAGCGTTTGCTTAGGTTTCCCTGTCCGACCTCCGGGGGACGACAGTCCTCTCAAATATGCCTCGGCAGAAGGCCCTTGCGAAATCTTTTGCATGTTTCTGCAAGTAACACGGTTTATTCTTGGGCTCACGAAGTCTGCCGCTTCCTGAGGTGGAGCTCCTGACTAGTTGACTGTAACAGGCCTACTTTTCGCCGCCACCTCCAATCTTTTTTCCTGGAATGAACCTGGAGAGGGCGGAGTCTAGTATCTTTTGAAAGGGAACCTGGAACCCTTCCCATGCCGAGTTAGTCTGAGCGCTCCGCAGAAAGTTTCCACAGGGAGAAATATGCGCGTGTCCTGGGTTGTCGCGCGTGTTGGCGCGCGCGCGCGCGCGTGTGTGTGTGTGTGTGTGCAGGGGTGTTCGTGCGTGCAGGTGCGTGCTTGTGGAGGGTGGGGTAAAAGGATGGGATCCGCTAATATGAAAGCAGTGCCGTGGCTTGTTTACAACACGTCCTTATCAGTAAATATGCCTTGTTTCACAATTCCGTTGTGTGTTTCTTTTAAAATACAAACCAATAGGTGTTTTTGAAAATTCATTTAGACTTCCTGAGTAAATTTAGTGATGGATGATTTTTTTTTTTAATGTAAAATGTCATCTGCCCTGAAATTCAAAGCCATCCATTCCATCTGTGTACTTCCATTCTAGGATATGGCAAAGGAAAACAAAAGAATTGAAATATTACATAAATTGAGTAGTCAAGAAAGATGCGAAATGGTAAGTGCCTTGTGTTATATTTTCCATCTACACTGTCCAATAGGGTGTCAGCTAGGTATATTGTAGCTATTGAACACTTGAAATATGGTTATTGTGACTGAAAAATGGAATTAATTTAATGTTAATTATTTTACATTTTAAAAACTGATTTCAGTTCTGAAAAACTTTTAAATATATTTGGAACAACCAGGATATAGTAATCTATTTTTTCAAGTTAAACTTTATGAAATCTAAATTCAGCATGGGAATTGAGATGTACTGTAAGTATAAACTACTAGTGGGATTTCAAAGACTTAGTAGCAGAAATTAAAAAACAATATTGAATAGCTCATTAACAATTTTTATGTTGATTACATGTTGAAATGCTAATGTTTTGGATATATAGGATTAACTAAAATATAACATTAAAATAAATTTTACCTGTTTCACTTTTTTTAATATGGCTACTAGAACATTTAAAACTACACACACATTTGCACTAGATAATGCTGGCTTAAAGTATTAAAACACAGAATACTACTACCTTGTTTATGGGTATATTTCCTTAAATGGTAAAAATGAGAACATATGGACAGGATGGATACACTCCAACTTCAGGGTTGTGGTCATCTCTCAGAAGGGAGGCCAAAGGATAGTAGAGAGAATCAGAATTACTTGTATCTGAAAGGTCATCATCTCATACAACTTTTTAAAAAATATATTCTTATTGATTTTAGAGAGAGAAACATCAATGTGAAAGAAAGATCAACATCCATCGCTGCCTCCTGCCCCCCCCCCCCCCC